TGAGTTAATATTTGTAAAGTACGTAGAACAGTAGTTGCACAAAATAAGTGCTCCATAAATGTTACCTATGATTGTTTCTGTGTATTGATAGCTGTGCCTGTTATAAATTCATTGCTTCACAGCTCCATCCCACCCTTCTGTATTTTGTGATGTGAGAGCTAGATTCTGCAAACACAGTTGTCCTTTGCCAACTGCCTCTTTGTTATGTTCTGCCAGCGGGGGATGCTGGAGAGACACACAAGGCTTGAGAAGGAGGAAGAGACTTGCTATTTCCTGGGGTTTATTTCCTGAGGTCTGGCTGTGGGCTTGTGATCCTGAGAGCAGTCTCTAGCAATGACTGTCTTCACTAAGCTAGAGGCCCAGTGCATATCTGATCCGTATAGTGGCATTTCTTGGATTCCTGAGCTGGACACCATCCATGCAGCAGCTGTGCTTTCTCATCAGAGCTGTGACTCTCAGTTCTACATCCTGTACTCTAAATTTCCAACTTTGTCCTTGGTTCCCTTCATTCCCAGTGGCTTTTTACATTTGCCACCTCTGTAACTCTAAGGTATACTTTAGAGTTCTTTTTTACCCTCTTAGTAGTTAACCATTTTTAAACTTAGTTAATAATTCTTTATATTAAACTTATAAATTTTTCCAGTTCAAATTTCTGTCCTTGACTAGACTCTGATATAGTACTTTCATCAGTTCTGGAAAATTCTCTGTCTTTACCTCTTCAAATGTTACTCTGATTCATTGTATATCTCTTTTCCATCAGGGACTCTAATTTAACACGTTAGACCTTTTCACTTCATACTCTTTCTTTTTCATATTTTCCATTTCTCTTTCTCTCTCGTATACATTTTGGATAATATCTTTTAGCCTATCTTTCAATTTACAAATTATCTCTTCAGTTATATCTTGGGGGTTTCCCTGGTGGCAGAGTGATTAAGAATCTGCCTGCCAATGCAGAGGACACGGGTTTGAGCCCTGGTCCGGGAAGATCCCACATGCCGCAGAGCAACTAAGCCCGTGCACCACAACTACTGAAGCCCGTGTGCCTAGAGCCCATGCTCTGCAACAAGAGAAGCCACCACAATGAGAAGACTGCACACTGCAACGAAGAGTAGCTGCCCACTCGCCGAAACTAAAGAAAGCCTGCACACAGCAACAAAGACCCAACGCAGCCAAAAATAAATAAATTTTAAAAATTATATCTTGTTGGTTAAACTTCTCTACTGTTATATATATATATACACACACACATATATATAATAAAATGTATAAAAATATGATATAGCTGTATCTACAATAATACTTTTAGTGCTTTTCAGAAAGAGGGTATGTCTTGAGAGCTAGTCAGACCTATTACTGGAAACTGATATATCAATATGTAGAATCTTTTTTCTAAAAAAAATGTAAGCAATGTTCATGTTTTGGGTTTGTATAGTATATTCTAGGAAGAGAGTTGATCTAGCCTCTGGAGTCTAGGGTATGGTATTTGGGGAAAGAGTGTCCCACTACTTTGATTTTTTTGTGCACTAAATATTTTAGAACTATTTTCTCTTGAGGTCATGACCTGAGATAATGAACCAAATACTTTATCAGCTGACCACATGCAAAGAGAAGCTACCAGTGGACCAAGCTCCCTGATTAGATGGGAATGGCATATTTTCTTTCTTTCTTTCATTTTGCCTTCCTTCCCACCCTTTCACTCTCCCTTCTTTCTTCCCTTTCTCTTTCCTTCTTGATCTTTGTTTCTTCCTATATACGTGCACTCAAACATTCATAATTATAACAAACATTCATGTAAGAGTGGGTAGAGGGCCTTTATGAGGAAGCAGATTTCTATATATAGTGAAATCTGATTCTGACTATCAACCTTGGTTGCTTCTGAAAAGGGTGGGAAAAATGAATTATAAGGTAAAGGGGAAAGGGGTACAACAGTATCAAGGCCACATATAAGCTATAGAACCATTAGTTTTAAAGCTCCCTGGTAAATTGCCCATCAGTGGGCATAGGGTACATTTCCCAATGTAAGGATTCAATGTAAGGGAAGCTATGATTTAAATTTCTCAATACCTTGAACAGAGAACTTTGAATAGGAAAGATATTATTGAAGGAAACCAAAATATATCACCCTAAAATATACCACTTTGGCATATTCATTATTTTGAATTAAAGGCACTTAAGAAACAGCAGGTACAGGACTTCCCTCGTGGCACAGTGGTTAAGAATCTGCCTGCTAATGCAGGGGACACATGTTTAAGCCTGTGGATCTGGGAAGATCCCACATGCCGCGGAGCAACTAAGCCATGCTCTACAAATACTGAGCCTGCGCTCGAGAGCCACGAGCCACAACTACTGAGCCCTCGTGCCACAACAACTGAAGCCCACACACCTAGAGCCCATGCTCCGTAACAAGAGAAGTCATCGCAATGAGAAGCCCACGCACCGCAACGAAGAGTAGCCCCAGCTCACCGCAACTAGAGAAAGCCCGCACACAGCAACAAAAACCCAACACAGCCATAAATAAAATAAATAAATTTATTTTTTAAAGAAAGAAACAGCAGGTACAAGGATACTCTGACCCTTCTTTTTCTTCCTGAAAGCAGGAGATAAAACTCCCATATGAAAGATACCCTCCCTATACCAGGAGGAAAGAAGACATCTCAATCACCAGAGACAGGGAATTTGGGGCTGAGAAATCTATGCAAACAAACTTTGTTGAACCAACCTTTACCATCTTAGTTACTTCTCTACCATTTAGTATCCTACCCCAAACGGCTTTGTCTTGTCAATTCTTCACAAATTTATTATTTCTTTGTCTAAAAGTTCTAAAAGCTCCCTGCTCTGGTCACATCTTCAGGTCTTCATTCTCTTGTGAAGACACCCTTGTACATGTAAAAAAATTTATTAAATGTATATTCTTTTCTCCTGTTAACCTGTCTTATGTCCATTTAATTCTTAGGTCCAGAAAGAGACCCTAAGGGGATAGAGGAGAATTTTTTCCTCCCTTATTATCCCCATTTTACACACCAAACTGAGGCTTAAGAATCTCAGAAGTTAGTTTTTCTAACTGCCATTTTCATACAAACTGTTGGTAGCAAATCAGGATGGTAATTTCTGTCTTTTGGCTGAGTTCTGGATGCTTCCTGCTGTATTCCATCCCCAGGGCAGTCAGGAGAAGCAGGAAGTACCAGTGGTGCAGCAGCCCCTCAGAACCACTCCCAAAGACACCTTGTTTTGATTCTACATCCTTCAAGTCTGTGATTTGACTTTTGAAGATCCAGCAGTTGCAATAACCTGAGCCAATTTGTCTGTCCCATATCAGTTGCTGCAATGGGAGGTGAAAAGATCCTTTACTCCCCCACCACCACCATGCAGACATAGTCAGCCAGCTGTGAGGAGATGAGTCAGAAGGTTCTCTAAGCTCAGGGGCCAGGGCCACCATATGGAATGGCCAGAATGGAGCCATGTGTATAGTGGATGCTCAAAAGAAGAAGCCAGTTTGCACAGAAGGGACGGGGGGAGAGAGAGAGAAGAAGGAGAAGGAGAAGGAGAAAGAGAAGGAGAAGGAGGAGAAGAGGAAGAAGAAGAAGAAGAAGAAGAAGAAGAAGAAGAAAAAGAAGAAGAAGAAGAAGAAGGAGAAGAAGGAGAAGAAGGAGAAGAAGGAGAAGAAGGAGAAGAAGGAGAAGAAGGAGAAGAAGGAGAAGAAGGAGAAGAAGGAGAAGAAGGAGAAGAAGGAGAAGAAGAAGAAAGAGGAGGAAGAGGAGGAAGAAGAAGAAGGAGGAGGAGGAGGAGGAGGAGGAGGAAGAAGATGATGAAGAAAATGAAGGGGAAGAAAGAGAGAGAGATTAGCTGCCTAATGATTTTTTTGGTCCATGAGACCCAGTTAGATACCCTGCAATTTATTTCCATTATAGTCTCCTATTAATAATTCCCTGAGCTTCTTTGTGTGAGTCTCTTTGCCTTGTAACCAAATGGGCCCTTACTAAGTCATCACCCATGGAATACCATGCATTTGCTGCAATTGCATTTGGTACAATATGACAACAGTCAACTAATCGCTCTGTGTTTTGAACACCTATTAGGTAGACCCCCCAGTGATGTGCAGTAGGGGTTATAAAGAGAACCGAGCCATGGTCCTTGATCTAAAGGAGGTGGTTTTTTAGTGCATCATACATGTAAAATTTAGTTTGGGAAGTAAAATTGACACAGACAAAACCAGAAACAAATACATGACACCACAAAATCAAGTGCTTGGCTAGTTGAACTAATTCTAAGGGCAGTATGAGTTCAGAATTGGGAATTTAAGGAATTCTTTAAGGAAGTACAGGGCTTAAAGTTCACTTTGAAAGAACTGTCAGGATATGGATTGACAAGAAAGAGTGGGAGGCTGGGGAGGAGGTGCTTTCCAGTTGCTGAGAAATGGCACTGGGGAGGATGGTGAAGCTGCAGACTACAGAGAGGGGATGAAGGGGTGTGTAGAGTACAAGGAGAGAGTTAATTGATCTAGTTTTTAAAAATTGCTATTTTACTCTCTTTCGAGACTTCATCTGAGATTCCTTCTTTAGCCAACATACCTTAGCCCTGAGCACATTTCCTCTCCTCATCTTTCCCTTTTTCCTTTTTCTTTTCTTTTCTTTCTTAAGTTGTTTAAATTTAAACCATTATTTGTGACTCTTTTTCCTGGGAGAATCATTGCAAGAAGAATGATGGTGCCATGGGAAGGTGACGCATCTGTCTGAACCTAGAGGTTCTTCTATGAGTTAAATAACTTCCCTGGTGAGCCCAGGTGAGTCTTCTTGTCCCTTGCAGCTGAACTTCACCCCTTGGCTGAGCATTGCATACAGCTCATAGCCCTCCCCCTTCCCCTTCCCCCTTCTTTTAGGCTCCCTTCCCCAGGAATTTCATCACTTCCTAGAACTGCCAAAACATTTCTGGTATATTTCTCTCAGTTAGTGTTTAACTAAACATCTACCTTTAAGGGATGGGCTGAACTGATGGAAGAAATATTGATAGCCAGAAACTCAAGAAGACAATTTCTGCAGGGTGCCTCCCTGGCTTCTGGAGGGACGAGAAGGAGGGCAGTGGACTGTTGGCACAGGAGCGAGACACAATGGAATCTGGCTTCACCTCCAAGGACACTTATCTGAGCCATTTTAACCCTCAGGCTTATCTAGAAAAATATTATAGCTTTGGGTCCAGACACTCTGCAGAAAAACAGATTCTTAGGCATCTTCTGAAAAATCTTTTCAAGATATTTTGCCTAGGTAAGTTTGTCTGTTGTCTGTGTGTCTCCCCTCCAAATGTGAGTCATATAGAGAGAGTCTCAGGGCATAACTCTTGTGTCTAATCATTGTTATTTGACAGCCCTTTGGGCATCACCCATTCATTTAACTTGGATAAAAACTAACATTGGGGTGGATACTTTACAGTTTACAAAGTGCTTTTATATCCGTTATCTCCTTTGGCCCTGCAAGAGGATAATCTAAAAACTGGAGTTCTGTCCTTGATTCTACATTGATTTGCTAGGTCACTAGCCAGACATTTCACTTAAGAAATGGAGATTCTAGGGACTTCCCTAATGGTCCAGTAGTTTAAGACTTTGCCTTCCAATGCAGGGGGTGCGGGTTTGATCCCTGATTGGGGAGCTAAGATCCCACATGTCTCATGGCCAAAAAACTTAAACATAAAACAAAAGCAATATTGTAACTAATTCAATAAAAACTTTAGAAATGGTCCACATCAAAAAAAATAAATAAAAATGAAGATTCTAGTAATTATTCTATTCCTAACTCAAAGGAATGTTGTGAATGTGCGTGAGATAAAGACCTCCCATGAAGGGAGGATGCTTTTTGAAGAACTGGATGTTTTTTGGAGAAAGACATTATAAAAACTCAATTTTTAAAAAAATTTAACTTTCTCTCAAAGCATTCCTTAATAGTTTTTACATTACCTGTGTGGCAGTCTTTCTGGATCAGGGGTCTGTACACCAGATGCAGATCTTTTTTTTCCTCCTCCTAGAGCTAAAAATATACCAGCAACATGCTCTACCCTTGAATAGGGAATGGAAAGTAAAAAATGTTTTAAAAAGAGACATTGAGGGAAGAGGGGTGACTAGAGAGATGGTCTGTCTTTGGGGCTCTCCTTGGGGCTCCCCAGCATAGTCCTGGCAAACAGAGTGCAAATCAGCTCTCTCTGCCACCATATTATGCCTGACCCCCTTCCTCATTCCCTCCTCTAAACCAGATGGTGTGAAGGGAGACCTCCTGATCGACATTGGCTCTGGCCCCACCATCTATCAGCTCCTCTCTGCCTGTGAATCCTTCAAGGAGATCATCGCCACTGACTATACTGATCAGAACCTGCGGGAGCTGGAGAAGTGGCTGAAGAAGGAGCCAGGGGCCTTTGACTGGTCCCCAGTGGTGACCTATGTGTGTGAGCTTGAAGGGAACAGGTAGAGAAACTCGGGTCTTCTTCCTGGCTTTCTTAGGGTACCTGTGCGCCAGTTCATTTTTCAGAACCAAAAATTATCCTTAGAGTCCAAGTTGAAAAGCAAAGGAAACAGAGACAGAGGGACCAAAGAGAAATCCAAATGGAGAAAGAGAGAGCTAGAGAGAGAGAACGAGAGTGAAGCACATGCGTGTTGTGCGCACGCGCAGGCACGTGCATATGTATGTGTGTGTGTGTATGTGCACCAGAACTGCAGAAGACATAGCTGAAAAAACTGAAGAGTTGGTTACTGAGCCAAGATGAGTGGTCACAAAACCTTTCCAGGCCTGTGTATGGATGCAGTGTGCAGGCCAGATACTGTAGGACCTTGTTTTAGGAAAACTTCAAGTAAGAGGCCAAACCAGCTCCTTGCTAGAAGGTTTCAGGTCAGGGCTTACCGCCCTAGTGACACTCTGTTGCTAGCCATCCAAATGCATAGATCTCTGCTGTGAAAGTGGCTAATGCTGACACCACCAGATATAACAAAAATCTGACTAGGTTTTTAAACTGAGATTAGCAGCATAAAGGAATTATTTGAAAAGAATTTGTTACTCACCATCCATAAAATTAGGGCTTTATATATTGACAACTAATGATCAAAATCTTATAGTACCCTATCTATAAGTAAATTTAAGCAAAAGTTTGTTTAAATTACTAATTTCTCCCCATGCAAGAAATTGGCAATAGACTACCAGCCAGAGGTGAAGAGTCGAGCACTTCACTTTGTTATTCCCTTGTCCCATTCTGCAGCCCAGCCGACCATCAGTGCCTGGAGCATCATGGCTTTGCTGCTATGAATATTGACAAGACCCCAGAGACTCCTTTGTAAATGGCACAAAAAGACCACTTTTGTGTTCTAGTGTTTAGCAGAGGAGATCCCTTGTCTCCTAGAGCTCACATCAGGGAAGGCAGGCACATGCCAAATCATTTAGGGCCTTCGAGGCCAAGTTAATGCTTGTGGACTTCAAGTGTAACAAGAAGACATCAGAGGTATAACTAGGAGAGTGATGTGACCCAACTTAAATTTACAAAGATCTCTCTGGCTATTGTGTAGAGAATTGATTGGAGGTTTAGAGAACAAGAGATGCAGAAGGGAGAGATGATGGTGGCTTGGACTAGGTGATGGAGAGAGACAGAAGGTTTTAAGATGAATTTTTGAGAGAGAATGAATAAGAGTTGGTAGTGACTGGTTAGTGGGAATGAGGAAAGGGAAGTAACAAGGATGACTCCCATGTTCCTGAACTCGAACAACAGGGGGATTGAGGTACCATTCCTGAATCCCAAGTATGAATATAAAATCATGTGTTCTCAACCTGTCGCTCAGGAGTATGCCTACCTCCATGTTCTTCTGGAGTGATTGATGGTCAATTCATGTTTCTATACTTGCACTTATATTTGATTCCCATCTATTTACCAACTTTTGTTTATTCCTGAGTCAAGTTCTCTTCTGAAAATGTCTCTAAATTCTGCTTCTATTTCTTTAACGCTCCCATTTTCTTTTAAAGGTCTGCTGGCTTCGGCTTATTAGGAGTATTGTAAACTGTATATTCATTTTCTTACCTACTGTTGCTACATTGTCTTATTGGTAGTAAATGTGGATTGTCAAATCTAAGTTATCAAGATGACTCATTGGTGGTACAATTCCTTATAGTACAGAAGTATGAATAGAAGTTTTACCTTGTGTTCCCAATTAAACTTTTTGGTATCATGCTGAGTCACTAAACTTCCACTGGGTTTTTTGGTCTTTTATTCCCTTTACCAGGGATAGTAAGTATTGAAATCAGAGAGTTTGAGTCCTCCAACTTCGTACTTTGCAAGATATTTTGGCAAATTTAGTGCCATTACTTTCAGAATAAACTTGTAGATTTCTTCAAAAAAAGTTTACTGAGGGCTTCCCTGGTGGCACACTGGTTGAGAGTCCGCCTGCCGATGCAGGGGACACAGGTTTGTGCCCCGGTCTGGGAAGATCCCATATGCCGCAGAGTGGCTGGGCCCGTGAGCCATGGCCGCTGAGTCTGCGCGTCTGGAGGCTGTGCTCCGCAACGGGAGAGGCCACAACAGTGAGAGGCCCGCGTACCGCAAAAAAAGAAAAAAAGTTTACTGAGATTTTTATTGTAATTTCTTTGAATTTACAAATCAATTTAGGAGAATGGATATATTGCATCTCCAGTCCATGAACATGGTTTGTCTCTACACTTAGTTAGGACTTCAGTTTCTCTCAGTTCTCATATTTTGCATATATTTTGTTAAAATGTCCCTGTGTTTCATGTTTTTTAATGCTACTGTTGATTGTATCTTTTAAATTTCAATTTCATTTTATTAGTTTCATCTGCTAGTATATAGATGTACAATTGATTTTTTGTATATTAGATCTTGCTGACTTCATTAATTTCATATTTTATTTTATTTTTTATATTGAAATATAGTTGATTTACAATACTTGTGTTGGTTTCAGGTGTACAGCAAAGTGATTCATTTAACATATATATGTATATATCTATATTCTTTTTTCTATTTTTTTCCATTATAGTTTATTACAAAATATTGTGCTAATTAATTTTAATCATTTTTGGTAGATTCCATAGTATTTTCTATGTACATTCTTATATGATATACAAATAAAAATACTTTTACTTCTTCTATTTCAACTTTATGCCTTTATTTTTTATGCCCTATTACATTGACTAGGACCACCAAAACAATGTTGAACAAAAATGATAAGGACAGACATTTGTGTTTTTTTCCATATCTAAGGAAAAAATGTTCAATGATTCATCATTAAGAATGACATTATTTATAGGTTTTTCATAGAAATTCTTTATCAGACTAAGTTCCCTTGTATTTCTAGTTTCTTGGGGGGTTTTAATCAAATGTTTAAATTTGTCACAAATTTTTTTTGCATTTACTGAGATGGTCATGTGATGTTTCTCCATATTCTGAGAACATGAATTATGTTGGATGATTTTTGGTATTTAAACCAAACTGGCATAAAACCCTTGGTCATGAAGTAGTAATCTTTTTATGTATTACTGGATGTGATTTGCCAATATTTTTTAAGGATTTTTGCATCTATATTTATGAGGGATATTGAGCTATAAATCTATTTTCTTGTTATATGCTTGGCAGATTTTGATATCCGCATGATGCTAACTCGTATAATAATTTGGAAGTGTTTCTTCCTCCCCTAATTTTTGAAGGAGTTTGTATTATTTCTTCCTTAAATGATTGATAGAATTCACCAATGAAGCTATCTGAACATGAAGGTTTCTTCCTGTGTGAGGAAGTTTTTTATTAAGAAGAGTATTCCTTTAATGACTATTTGGATTGTCTATTTCTTCTTTTGTCTGTTTTGATAAGTACTATTTTTCAAGGAATTTGTCCTTTACATCTCGGTTGTCAACTTTATTGTCATAAAGTTTTTTTTACAATATCCCTTTATTACTCTTTTAATGTCTGTAGGATCTTTGGTGATTGTCCCTCTTTCATTCTAGAATTGGCAATTTGTCTTTTTTTTTTAATCTTGATTGATCTTGTTAGAGATGATACATTTTATTAATCTTTTCAAAGAACCAGCTCTTGGCTTTGTTGATTTTCTCAGTTGTCCATTGTGTATTCCACTGATTTCTACTCCTATTTTTCTTATTTTCTGTCTTTCACTTACTTTAGTTTTAATATGCTCTTCTTTTTCTAGCTTCTTGAGATAGAAGCTTAGGTCATTTATTCTCACACTTTCCTTCAGCACTCTTTTAGCTGCATCCCATGATTTTTGATGTGTCATATTTTTGTTATTATCCAATTCAGCATATATTCTAATTTTCTTTGTGATTTCTTCTTTGACCATCCATTATTTGTAATTGTGTTGCTTAATTTCCAAAATTGTTGGGATTTTTTTTCTAGATATTGTTACTGGTTTGCAATTAAATTTCATTGTAGTCAGAGTTTTATTTTGTGACCCAGCATATGATCTATTTGGTGAACCTTCTATGTGCTCTACATTGAAAAGAATGTATATTGTCCAGTTGTTGGTGTCGTTTCTATAAATATTAATTCAGTCAGGTAGATTGATAATATTGTTCAAATTCTCTACATGATTTTTTGTTTACTTATTCTATCAATTACTGGGAGAGAGAGATGTTAAAAATCTCAAATTATGATTGTGGATTCATCTCTTGCTGCTCATAATTCTGTCAACATTTGCTTCATGCATTTTGAAGCTTGTTATCAGCAGCATACACTTTTAGGGTTGTTATGTCTTCTTGATGAATTGACTATTTTATCATTATATCTCCCTTTACCTCCAGTAATACACTTTGTTTTGAAGTCAACTTTGATATTAATATGGCCACACCAACCTTCTTATTCTTGCTGATGGCATAAGGTGGTAGGGGCCTCTAAGATGGTCCCCACTAATCTTCACTTCATGTATTCATGCTCTTGCTTAATTCTCTCCCCATGAATATCCATTGGATTTAATGACTGGATTCTAACAAATATGGTGCTGTAGAGTGATGGGACATCAATTCTGAGATTAGGATACGAAGAGAGTACAGCTTCCCTATTGGGTGCTCTCTCTTACACTCACTCACTTGTCCTAAGGAGTGAGTTTGGAAGCAAATTTACCCCCAGGTGGGCCTTCAGATGACACTGGACAACTCTGAGATTGGCCAACACTGCAGTCTCATGAGGGACCTTGCACCAGAGACACTCAGCTAATCTGTACCCAAGTATCTGACCTGCAGAAACTGTGAGATGAATGTTTGTCATTTTAAATTGTTAAGTTTGGGCATAATTTGTTATGTAACAATCGATAAATAATATACATGGTATAGCTTTTTCTACCCTTTTGTTTTCAACCTGTCCGTGTTTTTATATTTAAAATGACTTGTTTTCAAATAACATGTAGTAGGTCTTGCTTTTCAATCCAACCTGACAATTTCTACCTTTTAACTGGATTGTTTACTCAAT